GAGTTGATATCCACTCTGTTATATTTCGGTTGATTAAAAAGTTATCTAGTTGTAAATTAAAAATTTATTCTCCGTTTTACAGCTATTGCTAGTTGGTTTTATTAACAGACTTACATGTACTGACTAAAACTATATAGCAAATGAATAACTATAACTCCAAACAACAAATTTGTAAAGTAATTCTTTAACACCAAAGAGATCAGTCTACTTACAAATAGTTTATTTTCTTCACTCATTCCTAAATCATTACAACCTAAATAGATAAGCTATTCATTGAAAATATTACAAACTTATTTTATATAAATCTGTAATTTAAATCCTCCATTTAAAAGGTAAGTTATTAACCATACATGTATCGTCCTTAGTATCTATAAATGATTGAATAGAAAACTACTATTTTTTCATTTTGCAATGTGCAGCATACTCTTAAAATTAATTCCATTATGTGATCAAAATCAAGTAAAACGTTACTTATCATGTTTATTTTAATGGATAATTTTATCAGGTGTTTTGTGGATATCATAATAAGTTTGATAGTTGTGATAATGAGTCAGTCAAAGATAAACCACCATAAAAAACCTGGGAACACTGGACGGCCGTTTTGTCCTAGTATGAAACCCCACAGCAGTGTGAATCCACGATCTCGCCACGCAAGATTCGAACTCACAACCAATCAGTCTCGCGTACCAACGCTTAATCACTACACCACTGAGCTGATCGGGATTCAACGGTGTTAATGTCTAACTTCAACTAATCCACGAAATTGAGCAACCCATTCATCATTGTTTTCAGTGAATTACTATCTCTCAATAATAATTTTATAATATATATAATTTTTACAATTCACAAAATTCCTAGGTACACTATCTGGAAAACTCTTAGTTAAGAATAATATTTATCGTTTGTTTCATTTTAATTGCTTAAAAGAATTCAAAAGAGTATAGAAACAAAATTTTAAAAAAATATGAAATATTTCAAAAAAAAACTTCATATTTGAATTAGGAAACATTATTCTGTTTGAATTTTAAATCTTTTATCAAAATATGATTATTGTCAAGTGGAAAATCCACACAAATTGCTGTGTGACAATTTTACATAGATATCTTTTGTTAAACTTAATCTTTTATATTACTCATATTATTTTCAAACAGATTATAATTTAAGCATATTCAAAGGTTAAGATGTTGCAATGCTTAAAACTCAATAGCTATTGTGGTGTGTACTACCTATATTGACATAAGTAGTATATGATGTTAGTCGTGAACAGAAGGTCTGGAAGCAGAGAGGCAAGAAGATCGAACAGTAAAGAATGGAAAAAAAAAATGCAATTTGTATGAAAATGCAAGAACAATGAAGCCTGAGTCATTTCGAGACAATTGGTGAACATTTTGCAAATGAAGCATTGTTAGAGTTTACTAACAAGTCCTGTAATTTTGTGTTAAATACATTCGGTTGTCCCCACCCGTGTTCTTGTTCGCTACAATATGACTGATAAAACTATCTAATACAATGTAAGTGCAATATAGTACAGTTTTATGTAACAATAATTTTTTAATTGAAAAATTGGTTGGGTCAACTATAATTAGGACTAATGTGCTTCATTATTACAGACTTTGTATATCAGTCAGTCAGTAACTTCGTACCTACGTACGTACATCAGTTTAAGTTACCATACCACATTAGCACAGAAATACAATTGCCTACTTAAATCCTATAATGGTAAAGGTGGTAAAAGTATAAGCAGTAATCTGAAAGATTATGGTTTGAAGATGTTATTCAAAAAGTATAATCTGGTGAAATAAGTTTGGAAAAAAAGAGACATGAAGAGTTCAGAAAATAAGAACTTGGAAGAACACAAAGAGTAAATGCACCAGCGCCATTGCAAATGATTTTGAGCTGTCATATATATATATATATATATATATATATATATATATATATATATATTGAGATTTATTCAAGTGTTTGTGCATCCGTGTTTCAAAGACAACTTACGTTTGTCATAATATCAGGATTTAAAATAGATTGATTAAGATTACAATTTGTTTTTTAATCTTATACATAGTCATTTAGATATTAGTTATTCGAACAGATTAGATCCGTAAATATTTTGGTTGGTAGTAGTAGCTAAAAAACAGCTTATATGGAACGAATTTCCACTCACATTCCCGTGGTGTATTTTTACATGCATCTTATCATTGTTGTTTAGGACTGCAATTGATCAGTCCCATGTTGGCATATGTGCATCCTGTGCAGATTGCTACGATATAGCCATGAGTCTCAAGCTTTTTCAAGCAAATATGGATCCAGCTGACGAGTTTTAAATAGGACGAAACGCGGGTTCTGGATTCCAGTGGTAACCACTATCCATCTTTGCTTAAAACGTTTACAATCAGATCATAATATTTCATAATATACTGCAGAATATTAGTTGTAAGTAATTATTTCTATTATTTTACGACTCTTCATTAAAGTAAGCATCGATATCAAAGAAAATGTGTACTCTATTTACACCTGTAATACATATTTTGTCTATAGAGACTAATAATCACAAATAGGAAGTTAGCTTGTTCTGTTTGTAATTGGCAGACTAACTTGTAAGTTTATTAAGTGTTCCAATGGTATTGTGAATAATATTTACTTTTTGGTGTATTATGGATTAAAAATTAAATACTGAAAACTCTCGTACTTACCATGATTCGGTAGTTAGTGGCTAGTGTGCTGACCTTTGAAAACACAAGTACTGAGTTTTAGTCTCATTATAAACACTAACACTGTTATGCATATATATTAAGATGACTAATCTCGAATAGGACAAAACATTCATTCCAGATTACTGTCCATAATCTTCAATGCACTAAAACGTAAAAGAGTATATCCAACTATATTAAAATGTTTATTTGTTCAAGTCTAAAATACCACCAACAGGACCTTTATTAACACATCCTTTTATTTTAAAATCTGTTGAAAAGAGTTTTGAAGAAAAATAACATTTATAATGATTGACTTTTTTAAAACACTCATATATACGACTGATAATGTCAAATTTAAAACGTTATGACTTTAAAAATAAACGAATGTGACAGAAAAATAAGTCGTTTGTTCAAGTCGTTTGTTTACAAAGTTTGTTGTTTTTGTTTGGTATCTTTCTAAAATGTTTATTCTATATTTTGTACAATCATCTAAATGCATATCTACTCAACCCTTGCTTGTGTTAGGATGAACAACAATTTTTCATGAAATAATTTTAACTATCATCTGTTATGACTTATGGCCTGTTAACGATCACCGATCAGAACATGACTTATACAATATTAGCACTGTGCCAAACCAATGACACGTTGATGGGTACATGAAGCCTAGAGTTCTTATTAGTTCATCACAACTAGCACTGCCTCTTGAGTCTAAAACACCGATACAAACTTCCACTATATGAATCACATATTTCAGATATACTTGGTTTATATATATATATATATATATATATATATATATATATATATATATATATATATATATATATATCACAGGTTGAAATCATGAGCCAATTCAAGCTAGACCACCATGGAAAACCTGGAAGCACTGGACGGCCACCTGCTCACTAATGACTGACTTCAATAGATACTTCTGGAGTTCCGGTGAGAAGCCGTTGCCAGTGGAGTCCAACCGAGTCTGTCGTGAGATATCGGCTCACTGAAGACAATTGTGTACGGTGGCGCAACTTCGTGGATTGGTTGAAGTTAGACATTAACACCGTTGGATGTCGGCTCAATGATTTAATGGTTAAATGATCGCGCGCGAAACCAGTAGGTCCTGGGTTCGAATCCCGCGGGGTGCGGGATCGTGGATGCGCACGTCTGAGGAGTCCCATGCTAGGACGAAACGACCGTCCAGTGCTTCCAGGTTTTCAATGGTGGTCTAGCTTCAACTGATTCATGATTTCAACCTATGAAATTTCTAAAGATCTCCACAAAACTTATTCTGATATATATATATATATATATATATATATATATATATATATATAATCTCGTTACTTAACAGTTATTTAATAAGAATATATATCATATCCGTCCATAAATAGTTCCTAGCAGTTGCCGTTCATTTATTCTTCGCTCGACTATAACATATTCTATGTTAATTTTTCAGTCTAAATTACCTAACAGTAAACATTCTCTGAAGAAGTGGCTTACACCAAGTCACGAAACGTCAGAAAATCCAAGTTTCTACTCATTGGGATATTACAAATATATTATTTTCAGTTATCTCTAAATAAAGCCTATTCTGTAGATGCATTTTTTGAAAAACGTTGCATTCTCCACCATGTTTTGAAAACTTAGTTCGTAGTAAAAATTGATCTATACTATGTTTCTTTTAGAAGAGATACTAAGATCAAATAAATACCTGATGTCAAACATTTACTGCTTTTAATATGATATGAATAGAATCTGAAAGATTTCATCAATGACTTTAAAGATTCAATATTTCTCTAATTTATCACCAACCTAGTTTTCATCAAAACAGAACATATTATTAAACAAAAAAATATAGTAGTTTAATAATTGAAGTCATGAATCAATCGAAGTTAGACAACCATGAACAACCTGAAAATACTGGATGACCATTTCATCATAGTATGGGATTCCTTAGCAGTGTGCATCCATCCATTCATCCTGTCTTGCAAAATTCGAATCCAGGACTTGTCAGTTTCGTGCGCGAGTGCTTAACCACTAAACCATTCAGTTCGCATCAAACAATATAAATGTCTAACTTCAACCAATCCACAAAAAATAATTATAGTTTACATACAATAAATTCACTTGATAAAGAAAGTGAAAAAAAATAAAAAAATGACAAATTGTACCGATTTGCATAAGATAAATGAAACTATTATTTACCAATGAAATTTATTATTGATATTGGTTAAAATTTAACCAATCAAATTTAAGTTATAATTTTCAACCATTCATAAATGTCATTATTAAAAAAATACTTAATTCACCTTCAATTATTCAGCATTGATTCTTATTTATTATTGTAATTTTCAATTAATAAATAAATAAACAATGAAAATCTTAATTAATTAATTTTATTTTTTTAAAAACAAAACAAACAAAAGCAAAATGTATCAATAAATGTATATGGATATAATAGTGAACATTTTTAAATGCAAAAGACATATCTCATGGAAATAACTATGATAATTTTCATCAAATTTACTTCAGCCGAATTAAAAGATCATATAATACTTTGGGATGCAAGTAATTGGAGGTTAGTTAAAATAGTTTTATTCATCTAAATATATATACATATAATTTTTACGAGACTGAAAACCCTGGGTTCGAGTCTCACGAGCGGGATCGTGGATGTGCACTGCTGAGAAGTCCCACAATAAGACGAAGCGGTCTTTCAGTGCTTCCAGGTTTTCAATGGTGTTCTAACATCGATCGGTTTATGATCTCAATCGAAAAACTTAACAATCTCCACAACTTCTAAACTGATATATTGATTGTCAAGAAAACTATCAAACTGAATGATAATAATAGTTGTTTTTCATTTCATAATACAAAATAGCAGTTATTTACTTACTTATGCCTATTGCTCCCAATGGAGCATAAGCAGTAGTTCAGTTACACTCAAGATTCTATTTTTATAATCATTTTGTTGCATTTTAATAAACATTAGGAGATATTTTACAATAAAGACAAGTTATTGTTTGTAATTACTATTCTCATCTATTTCCTGCATCCTTCTAATTTTAAGTTGCATTGGATAATGTGTAATCAATGCTAATACTGTGAATAATCAACTTATAATGAAATTTATTCAGTTTTAAAAAGAAATTCGAAATTGTAAAATCAACTTTTTTTCTTAGATTTAAAGTATATATGAAGATATTCTTGTCATATGTTGGTATTATTTGAGATAGTATTGATGGTAAGCGACCAACTAGAAGGCCTGGTGTCCTAGTTTTAGATTTCTTAGTAGCATTCACTCTGAAGAGAAGAACGAAATAATTGTATGACTTCATGAGGATATTACTAGCTTGGAACCAATAAAATTATTTCCAGAACACTGAATGAATGAATTTTGATAATTTTGTTCGAGTCACCTTATAATAACAAATTATATTTCAATGAAGAGTTATCCAGTGACAGTCATTTGTTGATACTTTTCATTCTGAGAGTTGATTAATTCATGTAAAATATTTTAAAGTTATTGCATAATATGCATTCGTGAGCATATTTTAAATAATATGCTCCTGTAATTTAATAAGAACTAAAGCTGTAAGCACGATCGATTTAATCACTCCAGTGGCATAGTGCCAAAATAACTCATTTAAATATGAAGTAAATAAGAGTGGTACAAACAATTATCTATTCTACAATTTAATACTCAAATTGATGCATCCGTAAATATACAATAGAATTAAATTAATAGTTCATGTTTTCAACAGTTGAATTTATGAGTCAATCTAAGCTAGACCATCATTGAAAACTTGGTAGTCTAACTTGGATCAACTCATGAATACAACTGTTAAAATTACTGCAATCTTCACAAATGCCCATTCTGATAATCCATCATTTGTTTTCTGATAATTGTGGTGTCAAAGGATTAAAAAAATCAGTTGAGGAACTGGCTAACAAAACGAAATAAAATAGATTGAAATTAAATTCTTGTCAGAAATGGAATGCAAACAACAATTATATTATTAAATGAGGGAAGAGGGTGACAGAAGATAATATGTGAAATCTAGAGTTAATAAACATGGTTAAATAATCAATTTTATACATTCCATTAGTTTATATATTTCGGGCATAATAAAAACATACTAAAATGGTCAGATTCATGACTATGACCTTTAGAAATATTGAGAAACATAGGACTGATGAAAAACATAACCTCGAATTTAATGTAAATCATATTCTTGTTACGGAGTTGGAAATCTTCCTTCTTTAGGCTATCTGCTAAGATCCAAAATCTAAATCAAATGAAATTAATAGAAGTATATTTTAATAGAAAGATAAGTATTTATCGGTATATATGCTACTGTATCAGTTAAAAATTAATGTGAATCATGTATAAACATTGCAAATAACTGAACCTCAATTGTTCTCCCGTAATCAAAGTTAAGATATTCAGGTGTACAAAAGTCCATGATGATTTTCTTCATTTATATACTAGTCATCATAATTTATACAATCAAATCAACCTTACTTATTTAGGTTTATGCAAACTACTAAGGTTCACTTTAAGATGTAAGACACGAAGAATTCGTCTTTCTTAATATGACGCTTCGGTATTTTCATGAATTAGATTTCGGGAAATTGTGGTTTGGAGGCTTATGTTCACTGATTGTAATCCTATTGTCGTTAAGTTTATAATATTTCTTAAGTATTTTAAAGAATACATTTTACATCAATAGTAGACTTTTTCAGTAACTTCTCATAACACAAGTGAATCTACACCCAGATTCCTTAAGTTTTACGGTTATGATAATAGGAAAAGGAGAAGTGTCAAAAAACTAGTGAAATAAAAACTGTACGTTTTCTAATTCAAATAGAAGTGGGTTTTGATCTTGAACTGATATTCGTTGACGACAAACATCAAATCAGTAAGTCCTGAAAACCATTTTGTCATAGAATAAGATCTAAAACATGGGATCTTTAGATCATACTATGAAGTCACCAATCACTATTACGCACACAATGATTATCCTTATTGAGAAAAGCAAAGAATACTAAAAGGTCTTTATTTCTTTAGAGATCATTTTTTATACTCAGTGAGCAAAATGTTATTTAGACAGTAGGTTTATAAATTGTTCAGAAGAGGAAGAAAGACGATTCAAAAATAACCAAACAACGAAACATTAAGATGTGTATAAAAAATACTACGATGAACACAGAATCGCCAGACTGAAATACAAAATGTGTATTAAGGCCAAACATATATGTATATTATCAGAAGGAGTTTTGTGGAGTTATCAGTAATTTTGTAGTTCAATTCATGAATGAATTGAAGGTAGATCACCATAGAAAACCTGGAAGCATTAGACGGCCGTGACCAGTGAAGTTCAACCGGGGCTGTTGTGAGTGAGTAAATCACTGAAGACAATGGTGAACAGTGGCTCGATTTCGTGGATTAGTTGAAGTTAACCATTGTCATCATTAGATGCTAGATCAAGCGTTTAGAGGTTGAACGTTCGAGCGCAAGACCGATAGGTCCTGGGTTCGAATCTCTCAAGGCGAGGTCGTGGATGCGCATTGCTGAGAAGATCCACAATAGGACGAAACGGTCATCCAATGCTTTCAGGTTCTCCATGGTGGTCTAACTTAAATTGACTCATGAATTCAAATATATGTATATCCTCATTAATTTTAAGTAGTTTCCAATGTTTCAAACTTTGTATATATTTAACAAGGATACGCAGAAATTGAAGTGTGGTATTTTTCCCAAATGTTTAAAAATAAAAAAACTAAATATTTTACAAATTATTTTTTTTATAATGAAAGTAATCTGTATTCACTAAATTCAAAGAAGAAATGTTACAGCATTCTTTTACGTATTACGCAATACACAATTAATATTCACCGATATCTTCAATTTCTCATGGAGATTTAAATACATTAAAATGTACAAATATTAGCAATTACTAGATTTAATTTATTATGTCAAAAAAATCTAAAGTATTTTCCTTAGTTACTGCGAATGTAAACTTCAATAATCACCATGTAAATAAAAAATTGTTACATACAAGAGCTAATCCAAAAATGCCATCGAATTAAAACAAAAAGATTGCTATTATACTGGTAAATAAATGTCATGCCCATTTGTTTTACTAAGATAAATGAAGAATTGTTGATGGTTTATTCATACATGAGATTTTTTAAAATAATTTGACTGAATTATTAAATGAAGTAACCGACCACCACTCAATCATCTTCAGTTGATAGAAATTTTATTTTATGTTTATGAAGTCTCGACAAATTTCGTTTTATGTATTTTATTCTTTCCTTAGCGTACATTAACTGTATTGAGATTCTGTATTTATAAATGATTATATTATTTTCCTGCAGCGTATTGTCATCAGGCGATTCAGTGATTTGAATGAGGGCAGAAACTAATGCCTTTGATGAATTAGTCAACGATCTAAGTATCGTATTTCGAATAAAACATTCAAGTCACTGGATTGCCTAGTGACAGTACGCTACAGAATATTGAGAGAAATTACTTGATTTAAGATTTTTTGATGAATGTTTCAAATCATACCTTTTTCTCACGTCAATTCTAAAAATCTTTGCGCTCATGTAAACTTCCACCTTCCCTTAAAAATCTTCAAAACATCACAAATTCTAATATATCATTTTTAATTTATAAAGTCATAAATGATTATTAGGTCGACTTTATCATATTTCAGGAGAACGTTTGTTCTCACGCTGTCACTATAATTGAAACAAAAGCTTATTTAAATGTAGATAAAATGAAATACTGAGTGAATAACTAACCAAATAATTTTCATATTCGTTTATGTTATTATAATAAAAATAATTACGGTTAATGTAATCATATGCATAGCAACATGTGAAGCTGTTCAGCCTGAAGAGATAATATTCCACACCGAACATATATATATATATATATATATATATATATATATATATATTTATATATATATATATATATATATATATATATATATTTCCCTATTGTTTTTTAACATTGAATTACATGAATATAGAACTTTGGAAGAAAAGATTTAAATCTTATTTCCATTATTTTTAAGCTTATCTATTTAAATGTATTTTAGTTCAATCCCTATATTCTCATCAATATTCACATTGAGAAGCTGTAGTTAAAATACGATGGAACAGCCTCGTATATATCAGCTATATTTTACGAACTAAAGACTGTTAGAATAAAAGGATCGTTAAAGTTAAAATGTTTTGTATATAATAGGTATATACCTTCAAAATCAGTTAGTGTCAAATGTTCTGTTCAACGTGAGAAGTAGACAACCATGTCCTTCGATAGTAAAGCACATAATTGAAATGGAGCACAGAGTTGACATCAATATAGCCTCTAAAACGTTGAATATAGAGAATTATGAAGAGCGAATTATTAGATTTACAAAAACCCTGGCTATTCATATATCCGAACCCTCCTTATATGTATTAAAATAATTTGTTGTAACCTTGAATTTTCCCTGGTAATCTTTAAGTCATTTTGTAGCCTAGTGTAATGCGACAATATACTGTTCTTTTCATATAATATTAATTTTATCTCTTCTTTATTTACAATTATTACTTCGTTTACTTGGATCTTCATTTAATTGACACTTACTAATTTCACATAAAATGCCTTGATAAGTATATATTTAAGTAAGATGTTCGAAATATATGGCGCAAATCCACGGAAATGGGAGTACTCTTAAATCTAGATATATTCTAGCCAAATAGATTCCTTTTAATAAAACTGTCCATCCTTCTCGAAAAGAGGATATCGAAGGAAGCTATAATTTTATCATGTTTAACTTAAGTAGTGAATTCAATAACTAAATGAACTTTTCAACTATGTTTGATGGCTTTGTTTACTGATACTATTGACAAACCGTTGGTTTATCATTTACATTTCTAAAGTAGTATTTTAGCCTATTCCATATTTCATGTAATAGTCTGTTATGTAGTGTGGTTGATAAAAATATTGTCTAATACGGAAAGATCTACGCACATTTCATGTGAAATCAGACGTATGTTATTTTAGAAATTTTGATTGTCACCGTTTGGTGATTATTATTGCTCGTCAGATATAATCCTATAAATAGCTTCTAAATGTTTTTTAGTCAATATACATTTTATGTGATGCTCAGAGCTTTCCCGTTGGTTACAGCAGTCAATCGGAATGATCTTAAAACTTTCTAGTTCGACCCCTGTTGCATTTCCGAAGTGTTATATATAGATAAATAGGTTTCCAAATTGGAAATCTCTCTTTTAGTGGTCAGCATAACCACGCTTACCGTAAAATATTAAACCTGGTGATAAAACCTTTCTTTCCTTCTGTAGTCTAATAGCATTCGACCTAGAGTCTTATTACGATTATTTATTGCCAATTAAGCCGACAAAATACTGCTCTCACCTTAAATTTTATTCATACGACTTATTTGACTTTTTTAATGATTGTAGTCGGACACAACAACGAATTTTCCTAACGCTGACATAAACGACCTTTAAATTATCAAATGACACATTTGGGATGTAATCGATGTAAAAGTACACCACTTTAACAAATAATATTGTTTGATTACTTATCCCTGTCATATTTTAGTCACATAATAGGATGATTGTAGGCGTATCCCTATACACAATGATGATTGTTTTGATAAATTACTAATAATATACATAACTGAACGAGATGATCACTCGAAAATTCCCATTTTAATAATACAGAAATAAGATCGAAGAATATTTCTTCAAGTTCTACAACTAAATATCAAAATAAATCATTATAAAACTGGCAACGTTTGAGACAAATACATCGATAGAAATTACGGAATGTGAATTTAGAGTTGTTTGTAAAATAAAATTGTTAGTGTCGTTGAAATGACTGATATATGATTTTAACTTGAATAAACTTATATGTTAAACGGAATCATAATACTACTGATCAGAATAAATATGGGTAAGATGGGAACTACGTAATGAAATAATATCAAGTTACAATAAATGTTTGGTCAAGATTTACGTAATATGTAAGGTGATATGAATTGGGTAAGAATTAGTAAGTCAGTGTGGGTGCAAGTGTTAAAATCATAATAAGATTTTTGAATAAGTTTAAGCTATGAAAATACCAAGGGGAAATTCGTTTATTCATAAAGCAAATTATTTTAACTAACTAGGCCACAAACTATCCAAGAAAAGAACAGAGAGTTTTCAATTTAAATATATATCGCTTTAGCCGTTTGGATGATTCGTAGTCTGGCCAATTTAGGCAGATAACTATTGACACGATATGTTATTACTTCAAGTTAGCTGTCACTTATTTAACACCTATCCCTATTCACTAATTCTTACCCAAGTCATTATCAACCTACATATTATCTCATTCTTGACCAAATAGTTATTTTAACTTATAATTACTTCATTATCGCTCATATCCCATTTTACCTATATTTATTCCGATCAATAATCTTACAATTTCAAGTTAAGATCATATATCAGTTACTTAAACACTAACAATATGTTAGTTTTCTAATTCCATACTTTACAATCATATAGTCTAATTAATTTTTAGCTCAGGTCAAATTTAAAAATTATCAACTATATATTTATAATTCTCAATACCATCTATTTTATTCTCATCCACTTTCTTATCTCATATTTTGTCTTGATTAATGTAAAATCTTTATTCAAACTTTATTAATTATTAAATGGGATATGTTGCCTGTATTGATTTAGGAATGATTTTTCTGATTGCTCTCAGACAAAAGATAATTTTCTTGTTTTTAGTTAGAATCTTATTTTATTGAAGAATTTCAACGGTATATATATATTAGTATCAGAAGGGGTTTTGTGGAGATTGTAGCAATTTCAATAGTTGATATCAAGAGATATATGTATTGAGATATATATATATCGGTTGAAACATATAATAAGCTGTATAGTTACTGAACAATATGGATGAATATAGTAGACACTGTTTAGTAGTAAGATTTTTATCCGATCTATTTACAGAAAACTATTCACTTTCTAGGAATAAACTTTATCCATTAATAAGTATTTACAATTCATCTACAAAATAGATGCCATTAATGTGAAGATTCTAGAAATTTTTATTCACTATATTACCAAACACCTGAACGAAAAACGTATTCTAGATACATTCATTTTTTATTCCTAAGTTCTATTGTATTATTCGACCAAATAATACCCATTAACCTAATGATAATTTAACGAAATATTATATTCAGTATACTTAGAACATTACGAATAGTCACAAATATAATGTGAAAAAAAACTCAATGGTTGGTACATTTTTCAAACGGTAAATTTGAGTTCCTGTAAAAGATGTTAACAATTATTTTTTTTAATTATTTCAGGTTCAAAGAAAATCAAAATGATATTTATGCTACTGAGGGTGACAATCTAATATTCATCTGTCCAAAAAATCGAACATTTTCTCAAAATCTCTATTGGGTATGTATTATACATTTAACAATATGAATATGTATTTATATATATATCATCGTCGAACAATCAGTTGAGTGGAACTCGTCACTGTACATCAACTTCAGTGATTATGAAAAGGCATTTGACAGTAGTAGTATATTATAATAATATGATTAGTGATTTCTTGATGTTATAACATAAGTGATAAATATTTTTATTATCAGAAGGGGTTTGTGGAGATTTTAGAAATTTTCACAGATAATAATCATCTGCTCACTAGTGACTGACTTCAAGAGCCACTCCTGGAGTTCTAATGAGAAGCCGTTACCAGTGGAGTTCAACCAGGTCTGTTGTGAGATATCAGCTCACTGAAGACAATGGTATACGGTGGCGCATCTTCGTGGATTGGTTGAAGTTAGACATTAACACCATTAGATGCCGGCTCAGTGGTCTAGTGGTTAAGTGCTCGCGCGCGAAACCAGTAGGTCCTGGGTTCGAATCCCGCGTGGTGCGGGATCGTGGATGTGCACTTCTGAGTAGTCCCATACTAGGACGAAACGGCCGTCCAGTTCTTTCGGGTTTTCCATGATGGTCTAGCTTCAACTGACTCATGATTTCAATCTGTGAAAATGCTTTTATATTTTTAACTTGTTGCATCATATATCTACAAATAAACATTGCTGATTATCAATTGTGTAGAGAAAAGTAGTCATAATAAGTAAATAAACATAGCCCACTTTACATGTCGTTTTCGTATTATTTGCCTGATAAAATCTATCGGTAAATCTATGATTAACGATATTGTCTACAAATATGTTGACACTTTGGTTATATTATATTTATTGAGTAATTATGCTTTATTAATGAGATAATTAATGTAGACAAGTCTAAAGTTAGGTATATAATATCCAAATATAAAATGAGAATTAATTAGCAACACTTTTATAAGAAGCTAACTTATCTCTTAATAAAGTTTTCAACTTAATTTCGTTAATTATGAACATTTTAATAATTTTCTTTTAATTACAAGATTGCTTTTAATACTCAATCGAATTATATTAAAAGGGATATGTCTTATGCGATAAGTGTTGTTTGTATGTGTAACTAAGTTTAAACGACAGTTCTCCCATTGGCAACTGAAATTTATTCAACTCGTTATTTAATAAAAGACTTTAATATTTTATTATTGATTATCATTAGTTCAGCTAATAAGGGATTACGTTTAAAAAATCAAAACTTATTTGTTTAACACAATTTGACTCTTAGGATAGTAAATATTATTTCCTGTAAGGAAGAATAGGGATCAGGACATATGGGCCAACTGTAATAATTATTTTTAATAAGTTTTATGTATATTTGGCATGGAAAAGTGCAGACTAATAGAATGTGAATGTAAATAGTTAGTTTTGTTCGTAAGTCGAGAGATAATAAATGAATTTCATTATTAACCGTCCAACTAATGTATACAATGTTGATAATCTTCAGGTTATTATTGAATTTTCAATTGAATATAATTTGGTCCAACAATGTTTATAGATATTTAAACACTGTTTACTTGATCTATTCCAGCATTAGTATTCAAGTGTTATTTCATTATATTTTGTATATTTATTCATATGAATAGACAGATGATCCACGTGTACAATTAAAATGTAATAAAACATTACCTATTAAAGTTATTAAACTTTTGGATTGTTTTGGAAACAAGTCAGTTACAGAATTCGTTCTTAAAGTTAGCCGTTTCCCAGAAATCGTATCACTACCAAGTTTTCATTCAGAAATTCCTGTTTATTTCGTAGGTGAGTATAAAACTTTTAATATGATTTTTAATTTAGTAAACATATTCATTATTAATAAGAATCGCATTCTTAGATAGCGTCGCAGATATTTATACGACATGTAGACTATACTCTATAGAAACGCTAGTTTCTATTCGTTTTGTTTTATACTTAAACGCAGATCTTTATGAGTTATAAAATATAACACAATACTATGGCACAAAACCAATAACTGTACATTAATTCTTAAACTATTTGATTAGGCAATATTTGAAGATTCTTTAAATAAAGTGTATTTTCATTTGAGGTAACACTAATTTAATAATATTTATATTTTTATAAATTCATTTCATTTTCAGAAAGGGATTTTGTGGATATTATAGTAATTTAATACTTAAACTCATGAGTCAATTGAAACTAGATCACCAATACTTCCAACTTTTTTATGATGATGTAGCTTTAATTGACTTATCAATTCACCTAATAAATTTATTTCATTTCAATGTTTTGAAATTCGTTCGCTTATTTGAATCTTTGATTGTGATAAATATAAATGAGGAAAATGATTTTGAAGCTTTAAAAAATTGTGAAAATGGACTTAAAATATGAAGAAAATATCTGCACTATTTATGAAATATCACTGCTAAGACAAATTAAATATAGACACAACTAGTCTTCTTATTACTGGTGTTACAGTGTTTATAGCTTTGATGTTTGAAGTGAAAATACCTCAATTCATATACGAAATCTATATCATTCTTAAATTTTAATTAGCCGATATGTTCACTGATTTATTTGCATTTTCTTTGCCCATCAATTTAATGAAAGTCCTCTATACTTTGTTTATCGACTTTTTTTACTACACTAGACACATAAGTTTTGATAAGTGTAACTTTGTTCTGATAAGAAGATCAAAATATTGATTGTCGACGGACACGTTTATGAACTTTTTAATAGTTTACACAACCAAACTAAAAACATAAGTAATTGACAAAATGGGACGTAATTTTCCATTTAAGGATAATAAATTATGTTTTTTTTCTTAGATATCAGTCTGAAAGTAAGAAATTAAGTTGAATTAAATTTCTATTGAAATATATATAAATGAGATGGATAGTAGCTAGCAGTGTGATTGAGGACACACGTTTCATCCTATTTGGGAGTCTCCATCTGCATGTACCTACATGCTGGAGTTGATTTTCATTCAGAGACTCGAATCACGTGATGTTCACCTTAAACTCTGTTGCGTCATCCACTTAGCTAGTGATTTTAGACGGCTATTGGCCTATGAAATGGGGCGGATTTTAAATTGTATGTATGTATTATTTTGAAATGAATAGTGGCGAGTCTGAGTCCTGGAGTAAATATCATTTCTGAGGTGCAGGTACATTCATCTGGTGAGTCTGAAATAAGATGAAAAGCGTATCAGTAAGCACACTGCTAATTATCATCTATATCAACTTGAAAATGCCTGTGACTTAATGACTACATTGATACAATCGGCAGAAGATGCACCTGCATCAAAAGAGACTGACAAATCGCAGTCGTAAATATAAATGGGATGGTTTAAACAACCAAAACTTATAAATTATACTCAACTGGTAAATTTGATTCTATGTCAAAACATTTGTAGAGTCATACGCTGAAAATAAATATGACTGCTGCTATAAAAACTCATAGGAAAGTGGTGAATCTCAAAAACTTTGATCGAAATAATGTGACTAGTTGACAATTATTTAGGTGTTATAGATTCCAAATTAGTGAAAAAACTGATCAGGCGTCCTGACATATTGCGTTTATTATATTTTGTAAAAAGTGTCTAGGTAAAGTTTTGTACACCAAATGTTTTAGAGAGCATTAAAAGTACTAACAACTAACTAAACAAGCATTCAAATAATTGCTGATGTTAGATGAAATCAACTGTTATTCTAAAGATTCAATTTATCCTAACCAGTTGATTACATTAAAAATTTATTAAGTTCATAAATCACAAAGTGTGAAGTGACAAGATTTAAAATACAATGCCCCTATAATGCAGCTAATGTATGCATACTATGTAAAAATGAACAATATCCCAATTGCCTTAAAAATGTTATCACTGTATTATACAATAGTATTAAAAAGTTTAGGTGAAATATTAATAGTCAAAAGACCACATACTATGACTAGAATGCAAATGTCGACAACAGTACACATTGTTTATTATTTTATTCAGCTTGTATGAAACAGTAAAGCATATAAAACTATTTTAGTTACCCTATCTACGAAAAGAGATATATTTGGGTGGTATATAAAATTTGTTTTATCTTAATCTCATCAAACACTAAACTCTTCTCGCTGACATTTTAGCATTACCTCGTATAATGGCTATACTATATCATAACATTTTACTCATCTATGAATATGTGTCGACTGTTATGCATGAAGTATCTCTTTTCAGACTTAATGTTCGTAATTTTACAAACCATGATTATGAACTGATTTTCTACATTTTGTTCAGTCTAGTTCATCACAATGTCTAAATTATTTTCTTTTCTTCTATTGTCCGATTTTTGTTATAAGTTCGATATGTAGACAATGGAGAAGTGGACATACAAAAATCTGTATAACTTGCTAGTCGAAATAAAAGAACAGTTTTTTTCTGTCAAGTCATTTGAACTTTTGTTACTACTAATGCTATATAATTGCACAGTTGAATATTCTTTTATGAATTATGAGTCTCCATGTTCAACACTGAATATCCCTTACAACTATTTAGAATTCAAAGTGCTACCCGAAGTAAAGAGATTATAGTATTAGTTATGCAGTTATTTGTGCTTGTATATGTATAGTTAGTAATGTTGTTCTAAGTGTATAAGTCACACAAAATCTGGTTAGTAGTATTTTCAAGATGAACGATGATTGCTTTATTGTTGTTTGGAAAAAAAACTTATAGTTTATAGTCATAATTGTCAGGTGAACGCAGTTATGTTTCACAAAAACAGTGAACATTCCTTATATTGACGTCAGCTGAGCAACAAATTATCGCATAAACTTCACACACATACCTACACATATATACAGTTATAAAATTCAATTAAAAACCCCATGAATAACTAGATTTTAAGTGACAGAACAACTTTAGCGAATAGACTTCGATTTACTCTGGTTATGTAGCCACATATCAGAATGCTATTTTTTATATCAACAAGATTCTAAATTATTTATGTGCCTATCACATTAAAGTATCCAATAAAAGATGATCAATCATCATAAACCTCTTAAAAAAAGATCCAATAGATAAAAACTAAAAAAGTTTAGGTACAATGTAACCATAATGAATGTAAATAAACAATGAATAACCAGACATTACATTTAATAAAAAACAGGGTATTATAGTTCATTCTTTTAGAAGAGAGATAATATAACATCCATCTGTATTTCTTATCATGAATTGACATTTCTTTGGTTCAGATTCCAATTTCTTTTTTAGTTAATAAAATCTTCAAATATTTATTTTGTAATTTAATAGCTCAGTCTGTGATATGTCAACAGAATAATTTTCGTTTAAGCGTTAAACTAGTGTCTGGTAATAAAGAAGATATTACCAATCACATTGTTACTACTGAAGAAATGAAGACAAAGAAACATTCCAGGAAATGTAAGTTGAATTTAATTACACCATTACAGAAGTTAATGGATTGAAGATTTTGTTACATCTACATTTGATTAGTCCTATTAAACCACAAAATATATCGTTTGACTGTGTTTTTCTGTGCTTATAAGCATTATTTGTAAATTTTTCAATCGATTTTCTATGTTGTGTATTTTTAAAGTGTAAATGTTCAAGTAAAATCTACTATATAAATGTTACCTTTTTATTATTAATATGTCTTTGACATTCATGAGTACTTACTTACTTAGGTCTGTTACTCCCAACTGAGCATAGGCCGCCGACCAGCATTCTCAAACCCACTCTCTCCTGGACCTTCCTTTCCAGTTTTGACCAATTGTTGTTCATTTTTCTCATTTTTGTCTCCGTTTCTCGGCGTAATGTTTTCTTTGGTCTTCCTCTCCCCTTTTGGCCTTGGGGATTATATATGAGGGCCTGCCTTGTGACGCAGTTGGGTGCTTTCTTCCATGTGTGTCCTATCAAATTCCAGAGCTTCCTCCTGATTTCTTCCTCCTCTGAGTTCTGGTTTATTTTCTCCCACAGTAGGTCGTTGCTGATAGTGTCTGACAAACAGATCCAAAGTATTTTGTGTAGACAACTGTTAATAAACACCTGTATCTTCTGGATGATGGCTTTCGTAGTTCCCCAGATTCCCACACCATACAGTAGAACTATCTTGACATTTGCATTGTAAATCCTGATCTTGGTGTTGGTTGACAGTTGCTTTGATTTCCAGATGTTCTTCATTTGTAAATATGCTGCTCTAGCTTTACCGATACGCGCTTTCACATCTACATCAGATCCACCATGTTCATCAATGATTCTAACCAAGTATGTAAGGGTTTTTACATCTTTCAAATATTCTCCGTCAATTGTGACTGGATTGGTGCATTCTGTGTTGTATCTTAAAATCTCGCTTTGCTTTTTTTGTATATTGAGACCTACTGCTGCTTCACTGGTCGTCTTCTCTTGCATTTGTTGTTGCGTGTGCGATAGGATGGCCAGATCATCTGCGAAGTCTAGATCGTCCAACTACACCCTAGATGTCCACTGCATCCCATGCTTCCCTTTAGATGTTGATGTTTTCATGACCCAGTCGATCACTAGGAGAAATAGAAAGGGTGAGAGTAAGCAACCTTGCCTGACACCGGTCTTTACCTCAAACGAGTCTGTCACTTGTCCTCAAGGCACGACTTTGCAGTTTAATCCATCATAAGAATCCCGTATGATATTGACTATCTTCTCAGGTACGCTGTAGTGTCGAAGAAGCTTCCATAGTGTTGTTCTGTCCACGCTATCAAATGCTTTTTAGTAGTCAATAAATTTGATGTAGAGCGATGAATTCCACTCAACTAATTTTTGCAAAATGATCCGTAGTGTTGCGATTTGGTCTGTACACGATCGATCCTTACGGAATCCTGCCTGTTGGTCACGAAGTTGGGCTTCTACGCAGTCCTTCATCCTGTTTAACAATACTCTATTGAAGACTTTTCCTGGTATTGAGAGAAGAGTGATGCCCCTGTAGTTATCACAGTTGTTGAGACCGCCTTTCTTCGGTATTTTGATCACAAGTCATTCTTTCCAGTCTCTTGGTACTTGTTCCTCATCCCAAATCTTATTGAAGAGAATGTGGAGTATCTTTGCAGTTACTGCTAAGTCTGCTTTCAGTGCTTCTGCTGGAATGTTATCTGGTCCTGCTGCTTTGCCATTCTTGATTTGTCTGATGGCCATGCTGATTCATTGAATTGTTGGTGGGCCAACATCGATTAAGAGGTCCGTGGGTGCTGCTTTGATGTTGGGTGGGTTCAGTGGAGCTGGTCGATTCAAGAGTTCTTTGAAGTGTTCTATCCATCTGTTTTGTTGCTCTTCAATGTTGGTGATTACCTTGCCTTCCTTGCTTTTCACTGGTCGTTCAGGTTTGCGGCGATTTCCAGAGAGTTTCTTTGTTATGTCATACAGTTGCTTCATGTTTCCTTCTCTTTCAGCCTTTTCCGCCGTCGTTGCTAAATCTTCCACATATTTACGTTTGTCGGTTCTGATGCTCTTCTTCACTTGTTTGTTTACTTCTGTGTATTCAGATTTTGCCTTGGCTTTTTCTGCTCTTGTTCGGCTGGTATTGATTGCTGCTTTCTTGTCCCTCTTTTCTTGAATCTTGTCCAGTCTATCAACAGTGATCCATTCCTTGTGATGGTGCTTCTTGTGACCCAGAACCTCATGACAAGTTGAAGTGATCGCCTTTTTGATCCCCTCCCAGTCTCTCTCCATGGTAGTTCCTTCTCCATTGAGTAGATCATGAAAGGCCTGGAACTTATTGCTGAGGGCTTACTTGAATTCGTTGAGTTTGTTAGTATCCTGAAGAAAGGCCGTATTGAACTTTTGTGATATTGTCCGCCCCATTGTCTAGTGCTTCTTGGGTTTCAATTTCATCTTGGCGACCAGCAAGTGATGATCTGATGCTATATCAGCTCCTCTCTTGGTTCTCATGTCCTCCATCGTCCTCCTGAATGTTTTGTTGATGTAGATATGGTTGATTTGGTTTTGTGTGGTATGATCCGGTGAGGTCCATGTGGTTTTGTGTATCCGTTTATGTGGGAATATGGTGCCGCCTATGACTAGTTTATTGAAGGCACATAGGTTTGCAAATCTCTCACCATTTTCGTTCCTTTCTCCCAGTTCGTGTCGTCCCATGATGTCTTCATATCCAGTGTTGGCCGTTCCAACCTTGGTATTGAAATTTCCCATCAGGATAGTCAGGTCTTTTGTTGGGCACTTCTCGATGATGGACTTCAGTCTATTGTAGAATTGATCTTTAGCATCTTCATTCAAATCGTTGGTAGGCGCATGGCATTGAATGATGTTCATTGAAATGCCCTCTTTCTTTGTTTTGAAGGAGGCTTTGATGATCCTTGATCCATGAGATTCCCATCCTATAAGTGCATTTTGTGCTTGTTTTGACAGCATCAATGCAACTCCTTGTGTGTGTGGAACATTTTCTTCCTAGTGGCCAGAGTATGACAGAAGATCCCCTGAAGATAGTCGTTGTTGTCTAACTTGCGTCCAGTGTGTTTCACTGATCCCAAGCACCACTAGGTTGTATCTCCTCATTTCTGCAGCAAGTTGGAAGGCTCCGCCTGTGTCCCACATTGTACGAACATTCCATGTGCCTAAATAAATGGTTGCTCTGGTTGTCAGAAGGGGCATGGGCCTCGTGACCTCTAAAGGAGTTCGGCTTTCATCATATGGCGTCATAACTCTTCTAAATGAAGACGGTCTGACTCCCTGGGCAGAAATTAAATGGTTTGAATAATTTTTTTCTGGTTAGCATTTTTTAGTTTTCTACGGAATGGGGTCGCTAACCCTATGCCCAACCCTCCTCCTTTATCCGGGCTTGAGACCGGCAGTAGCCCCAGAGGGTCTTCAGGCGGAGTTAAGTTTGCGTACATTTATCATCTTACTAGAAGACACGACGGCTTAAATGTTCTGGAGCCAAATAAAAAGTTGCTGAAAAGATATATTTTACCAAGTCGATTTCTCGACTTATCATAATGCAAATATCTAACCTTTTTAAAGACCCCCTATATTTTGAACCACCAAAGTATATTCACTGATAAAATATTTAACCATATTTCGTTATTGTATAAAGTGTACTCATTCGTCATGCTTTATTTGGGGATGATTAAGTAAACCCCATAACTACATGAGGTATATTATTATTATTATTATTTAAGAGATATGCTTATAAAACGAGATGAAATTAAACTTAAGGCATAATAAAAAACGTAGTGACTTACTATTATTTTATCTATAAATTGTATAAAAAGTAATAAACTTTTCTCAAATTTTTCACAAAAAAATTTGACCTTAATTTTATAAGAATGAAGTTACCATCGTAATTCAATGGTTAAGTTTACATTCATTGGCCAAAGAAGGCTTGTGAAAATGCCTCGTGACAGAAGTGTTTATGTAATCATTCATTATTTTGTATGAATATTAAAGTTATTGAAAGCACTGAATTATGTTCCACAATAAATACACCTGTATCGAAAAAACACAACTTTCAGTATGGCGTACTTTATAATTTAATGTTATTCTTATTAGAAAGGGATCATAAAATATAATGGATTGATATTTCTTGCATGCTGGTTCTTGTAAGAGAGATATATCACTGATCTTGATAAAACTGGTGACTTTACTAAGATTCGAACTAATGTCACCTTTCATCAAAGTATGAAATAAGACTTAATTCTCCCAAACCTTTAAGTGTAACAGTTTGACGAGTGATAATTAACACATAATCACCACATACCAAAATATAATGAATGAATTGTCGAACCACCTAGATAAGTAAGTATATTTTCTTTGTTCAATAGAACTAGTTGATCAATGAATTTAAACATTTTTTTTAGTAGACTTTTGTACATTGAACTGGTTTTTCATTTCATTCTATTATTCATTAGTTGATTTATTCTCAAATACAACAATTTCTTCTCCATTAAAAACAACACCAATTCAATATTCTTTAAATGATTCAACAAATTTATTCTGGAATCAAGAATATAATACAAAACAAAAATTCAATTGGATTGAATATAAAATTTTACTTTTACCAGCTACATTAGCATTTTTTACATTAATTAGTATACAAATTATTTTATGTGGATTATGGTTTTCGAATTCATTAATTCAAAAATTATTAAAATGCATTAAAAAGCAAAAGTATAAACCTTATAATATAAAATTACAAACAAATGACAATTATAAAAATCATCAAATAAATAAAGATTTACATAGATCTTATTCAATTCAATTAAATGATCAATCATATAAATTACCAATTACTAAATATGAAATAAAATCAAATAACAATTTATGTTGTCAATCAAATACTTCATTATTCAAAAATAAATATAATTTGAAAACTATAGAAAAACAACAAAATTCTATCAATTCTAATTGGTTAATACATTTTAATTCATTTAATAATGATGTATCATTCTATACATTAAATAATCAACAAACTGAATCAAATGTATTCAAATTAAATAAATCAGAAAAATTATTATTTAATTATCAAAGGAATTTAATTCAACAAACTATTCCAGATACATCAACTATTCTATGTAATTGTATCAATCAATCAAATAATATGAAATTTAGACCAAATCAAGAGTTATTAATACCTGTATCCATTTATTTAAATAAAAATATCATGAAAGATTGAAATTCTTTATTTTTTTTTTATTTAAAAAAAAGAAGAAACAAACAACTTCTTTTTGAAGAATTTCTGAGTGTATTCAGTAGAGAACGATCATTTCACTTCTTTTACATATTTATCCATTATTGATATTTTATAACAAAATTATCCATTTATATGATACTCTATTTATTAAAACCGAGAAAATAAAATGAAGATTGAAATAGTGATTTCAGTTTTTTTCTCTTAAATATTAAAAAAAAAAAGAACATTTGATACTTTTGAAAACAATTTTCTTTCTTATTGTATATACTACTTATTTCAGTAGAATCAAAATGATCTAACAAATAGAATACAATTCATTTAATTCAATATATTCCTGTAAGAATAAAAAAAAGAATAAACAAATGAATTTATTGATTACCAATGCTTATTGATATGATAATTTAATAGTTGACATGAATGATTATTATGTAAATCATTAAATTAAAATAAAATCAATGAAACAAATCATATTTCATATTTATTATTAATTTCAATTATGATTTGAATGTTTCTTTTTACTTGTTTGTTTGTTGTTTTTTTTCTTTTATTTATAATAAGTAGTTGCTAGATTGTAACACAACAAAAAAATTTGAACTTCTTTACAAATGAATTATTTCTGATTAAATGTCATATATTTAATCTGTATAGTATAAAAGTTCATGTTAAGTTTAAGCGAAGAAAAAAAAAGTGTTTCCTTTCATGACAATGTAAATGATGTACAAAAAGAAAGAAAGAGAGAAAACTATACAGCTCCATAAAGATATAAAATAAAAGCAAATATAATAATGCAATAATCATTCCAGTTTGATATTGTTTTTTTATTTATAATTTATGTGAAGGAAGAAAAGAAAGTGATTAAGTAGAATTCTTGATTTTATCAAATTTCTTTTGATTTTTCTTTAGAAATACTTTTAATCACTTGGAAAAAAATCAATAATTCAATAAGATTGATTATTATATGTTTGATTAGATTTATATTTGAACTATAATATTGGTAATAGTGTAAAACACAACAATAGGTAGGAAGAATGTATGTAATATGAGAATGTACAAAGTACTTATATCATACATCATACATAGTATTTAATCGTTTATTCTTCTTTTTACGGTGTGTTCTGCCATTTGAATTGTATTCTCATCTGATCATCAAATGTTCTGCAAACACCATGTTTTCAATCTTTTGAAACTATTCATTCTGTCTGACGTTATGTTCGTCTATACACTACTTAGACATAATTGTTTGAGTAAAGTTCACTATGACATGATTACATTTATATTGAAATTTTGGTTGAATTGCACCTAAAACAATCAATGACTAAATCTTAATTCATTGTAAGATAAAATTGTAAAATACCTTAAATTAAAAGAAAACAGAAATAATTATATTAAAATGTAGTTAAATGAATTAAAACGTTTGTTGTTTGTTGATTATTATGTTTTCAATTGATAGGTAATTCCCATTTAAAAATTAAAACACGAATTTCAGCGAAATGATCTCCTTTCAACAAATTTATTATTGTTGGGTCGGCTTCCGGAGAACTTCAACGGAGCCTCCAGAGGCCCAAAAAGGAGCCGAACGGCCCTAGCCAATCAGAGTATGATGGAACGTTCGAGAATTCCAGCGTGGCGTGCTACCATTGGTCGGTAGCATAATATGACGTTAACGGATTGGCTGAAATATGGTGTTGATTTAACAGACGCCAACATCTATAAATACCCTTGATTTTCTGTACCAAAATGAACATTAGGATAAAGTGTTTTCACTCATACTTGTGTCTTCTCTCTGGAGTTCAAATCGCTGCGTAGTTCTAGTCTGCGGGTTTCGGGAATAGCTTAGGAATCGTATATAGCGTTCAACCTACACGACTTATCAATTATCAAGCTGTACAATTGTATATATATGAAAATCTGTTTGTTAAAGTACAAGTTCCGTGAGGAAATGTGAACAAAAAATAATCAAGATGATGTAATAGAATGATTATAATACTAGATTACGTAATAATGACAATACACTTATTCACAAAAGCCCTCTCGGATTAAAATATTTTGTTACAATAATTAAATCATTAAAGATCAAAGAGATGTAAAACAATAGGTAAAGTGATATCATGAGCATTTATGAGTAAAATAACGAGAATATGAGACATAAATAAAAAGAGAAATGCAGTAATCATAATAATTAAGGCTAAGGTAACGATAACGATAGGACATAGTTCTCGCTTGAGCTCATCGATGGTAAGAACTTTGGTTATATTTAGGAGTTGGATACGAAGAAATCTAAGTAGATTTGGACAAATCGTATATAAAACCTTAAAATCAAATTGTTGGTTATTTCAAGTATGGAACTCCTAACAGCTTTCCTTATTAAGTGTATTGTTATTAGTCGTATTACGTAATCTAGTATTATAATCATTCTATTACATCATCTTGATTATTCCTTGTTCACATTTTGTCACGAAACTAGTACTTTAACAAAAAGGTTTTCATATATATATCATTATAAATGAATAAATGAATAAAGAGTTATTTTAAATGTATAAGCTTGTCGCATGTTATTCGCTCAGACTATGCGTCCTTTTATTTGACCACTTTTAAAGATAGGTGACATGTACTACAGTACTATTTGTTATTAGATATTTATTCATATACTTAATCAGCTTTAAGAGTGTACGCATATCCATATGCACATATATGTAAATACTCGTGCATATTTGTCGATTTTACTTCACTAGATAAGTTTACTGTTTTATTCAATACATAAATATGAGGTTACTGATTTCACAAAATACGTTCACTTTTAATTCCACTCAATTATTCATGAACTAATCAACTCACTCTTCCTATACGTTTGGTTTCATTTTAAGACTACCACATTTAACATACAGTCGTCCTCTACTACTTCACGTCATGAACGTTTTGTTAATACAGTGGTACTAATTGTAATGAATGTAAAACGTAATGAATTTCCAAAAAAATAGAGTCATAACTCCTTCTAATAGTTTCAGTCTCAAAGCAAATAACTGATGAACCAAGGTTCAAAATATAGTCACCAAACAGCTGAAATTTATCATTTCGTGTGATATAAAATATGGTCAGCTTTTTCCAGATTTATTTAATATTTTCAAAATGCATTCAACAAATTATGTTTTCAAATTTTGTTTTATAAAATGCTTTCGGGTAGTTTGTTCTAGTGGGAAAGGCTTTTAACAAGGATTGTAATTAGCACAGAAATCAAAAATCAGGTAAAAGTGGTCAATTTTTTTCATTTCAGTGCATAACTCATTAAACGTCCATACAAATAAACGCAAGTGCGGTCAAGCCTAGAGCTGATACAATAGATGAATTTTTGTAAACCATCTATTCAACAATAAAAGGTATAGTTGCTTATCACTTCCTCTCCAGACGAACTCTGACGATAGCCAGATACAAAGTTGACAAAGAAAAAATAACACAACTGCATTTACAAAAACGTTTGACAACGTTCGAATTTAACAGTGAAAATATATCATCCTCTTAGCTTAAATCGAATATCTATGGTCCCGTATCGTGTCTCATCGTTGATGCATTATGGTGGAATGCCTTAAAATTGGACAAAGCAATTGTTTAAATATTCGTAACAATCCTAAAATTTTTAAAATAACAATATTTTGTAAGAAAATGTTATTTTTTGTTTGTCTTGGCGATATACTAAGATCACTATTTCACATTTGTGATAATGCAAACTGTGAACCATAGAAATAAATATAAATTATCTCAATTGATTCCAAAGTATTATCTACAACATTAAACGGTATTGTAGTGTATACCACGTATGTCTGTCGACATAATTAGTATGTAAGACCAATCGGATGTTCAAAACCTGGTGGCAAATAAGTAAGAAAACCGAGTTGAAGAGAATGGAAAGGAAAATGAAAATGAAATATGAAATGGAATAATCATACAGAATGTAAAGGACAAATGATGGAAATTTGTAAATGAAGTATTTAATGTATAATTCTCATATTTTACCAAAATATTGTGTAATTTTGTATTAAAATACATTACTTGTTCCTGCTTGTTTTCTCGTTCACTAGAATATCAATTAGTCATAGAATCAAAAGCATATTTTTCCAAATAGAAAATATTCGTATCAAATTTAAAAATAAGTAGATTGTTCATGAATTAAATGGATTTTTCTTAAGTTTTATACATTTGGTAACTGTTATGTCCCGATAAGATTAATGAATGGCAACTTTTCGGATCCATTTATGGACCAATACTATACGTATATTTTTATTGTATAAATTTTAAAAAACTAAGCTCTATATATTCATGACCCTCTTATTATGAGCATTATTTCGATCTATGAACTTTTATTATAAGATTTACCATTCTTGAATTAGGCCCTGTCTATTAATCATTACCTCCCACATTCACAGCCACATTTACCTAAATCTTGTACAAAGGTTGTTTCCTATTTTATGGTACGATGTGATCTGTTTGAATACTATATAAACTCCGTATGCTTGAAATAAATGATTCATCTTGCAGAGGCTGAGATTGATGTTCTGGACTTAACTGGATGGGCTAGGCAGGAAGCAGGACCAATAAGAACTTTAGACTGCTCGTATATGTTTTATGCATCTTTGGTTCGATCGATAATTCACTGCTTTCTAATTGGCGGTATCATTACGTACACATTAACAGAGCACATCGGCCACAAGTTATAACAGTACCCTCCAATCTTCATTATCCAATTAAGAGTATGGATAACATTAAATGATTCATTTTGCTATCATATATTCTAAACTTTATCTTCAATAAGATAGTTAATATGTAAACATTATTAACTCTCCAAATATTTTTATTATTCAAACCTTTCTCTTTTTTCCATGTTTATTTATTAAAATCTTTTCTAGAAAGAATCACTTCATTCAGTATTCAGATTAATTCAATGTTCTACATGAAGAGATTGTAATAAATTGATATACCATAATGTTATTTATTACTAATTCTCCAAACATTTCTACATTTTTTTGCTTATAACAAATCACTTACAGAGTTAATGAATGTGCTTATGATTGAAAAAAAAATAGTTTATACTTGATTTTTTTAGTTTACAGTTAATTTTATTTGAATAGGACTATTAATTGATTAGACGGAGCAAGAATAATAAGGTTTGAAAAATAAAATGAATCAATCCTACTTCATGACTACAAAAACAGCCTAAAATTACGATTATTGATATACGGGTAGAGACAGTTATCCACCTCAGATAATGAATGAAGGGTTGCGCAAAATCATAGATCGATCAAAGTTTGGCATTAACACTATTGGATTGCGATTCATTAGTCTAGAAGTCAAGCGTCCGTGCAAGGCTGAAGGTCCTGGGTTCGAACTCCACATTCTGGATCGTGAGCGTGCACTATCGAGAAGTCTCATGCTAGGACGAAATGACCTTCAAGTTCTTCCAGGTTTTCAATGGTGGTCTAGTTTAGATAGATTCATGAATTACTACAATAACCATATATCCCCATTCTGATAACATTTTTTTCTTTGAAATCAAAAATAACTATTTAATGTGATTGACCATGATGGATAATCGATAATTATTTAATGAATTAGTCAATTTTAAGAAAAAAAAATGATTAGCAACATAGAAAATGACATTTCACGGAAATCGTTCACAATTATATGCTTATCAGAGTATTGAATTCACAGATTAATTACAAGGATAAATTTTATATAGTGAGAAAAGAAATTCTGAGGACTAAAAATTATTTTATAAAAACATTTCATTCTGTGATAGTAAAAGA